GAGTAGACCAATCACAACAGACTGGGCCATCTGACCAATCAGAGCAGAGTAGACCAATCACAACAGACTGGGCCATCTGACCATCAGAGCAGAGTAGACCAATCACAACAGACTGGGCCATCTGACCAATCACAGCAGAGTAAACCAATCACAACAGACTAGGCCATCTAACTAATCAGAGCAGAGTAGACCAATCACAACAGACTGGGCTGTCTGACCAATCAGAGAAGAGTAGACCAATCACAACAGACTGGGCTGTCTGACCAATCAGAGAAGAGTAGACCAATCACAACAGACTGAGCCATCTGACTGACCAATCAGAGCAGAGTAGACCAATCACAACAGACTGAGCCATCTGACCAATCAGAGCAGAGTAGATCAATCACAACAGACTGGGCTCTCTGACCAATCAGAGAAGAGTAGACCAATCACAACAGACTGGGCCATCTGACCAATCAGAGCAGAGTAGACCAATCACACCAGACTGAGTCATCTGACCAATCAGAGCAGAGTAGACCAATCACAACAGACTGGGTCATCTGACCAATCAGAGCAGAGTAGACCAGACCAATCACAACAGACTGAGTCATCTGACCAATCAGAGCAGAGTAGATCAATCACAACAGACTGGGCTCTCTGACCAATCAGAGAAGAGTAGACCAATCACACCAGACTGAGTCATCTGACCAATCAGAGCAGAGTAGACCAATCACAACAGACTGGGCCATCTGACCAATCAGAGCAGAGTAAGCTCTCAGAAAGGAGGGTTAATAGAGGCAGTTCTTTATCAATATGTTTCAGACAGAGAAAAGATGTGATGCCGTAATGCATTCAGGTATTTTGAGGAAAATAAAGTGTTTTTTGAATTGGATGCACATAAACCTATTGCTGGAGACTCCAGATCAAAACTAGGAGCTTTTAAAATAGCATAATAGGGCCACTTTGAGGTGATAGACCTGTGATATCACTTCTAATTCATTACACTGTAAATGAAAGGTCATGTCAAGCAAAGTGCCTTATGGGAAAGAGTTGCGTTGGGCTTTGGTTCTACACTGCACATTTTATCAGATGTAGTTTTTGCATAATGTGCGCTCATAAATAAAGTATCACGTTCTTCATCCCTGCTGTGGGTTTGATCTTAATGATGTCTGCGCTTCTGTGCGAATAGAGAGTCGCTCTGATCTGATCTGGGATCAGGATGACGCAGCAGCAGAAACACACACTCAGCAAAGACACAGAAAAGGTTGATTTTATAAGTTCTGTAGGAATATTAAACGTGAGAGAGTCAAACTGGGTAACGAGAGGCAGCCGAGGAGAGAGAGAGAGACCCAACTTTTTCAGTATTTTATGTCATCAGTTTTAACATATCGATTATTCTGCATATTTGTTGCCACTTTCGTTTACAGTATATATTAGCGTTTTGACATTGAGTGACTTTTTTTGCCGCCACATTAAAAGCATGGGTGTTTGTGTCACTTTCGGTGTGATTTTGCTGTAGAACAAACAAGCGGAGATAAACCCGACGCGCTGATCTCACGTCACATTTCCGCCAGCTTTAATTGGGACCTGCGGTTTGTTCAGGAACTCTGTGTAGATTTAATTCCCGCTCATTTACAGCGGCTGACGGTTCTCGACTCATTAAGACTCCAGGAAAAATATCTGCAGGAACAACAGCTGATACAAACACCAAATAACCACGACCAACAGGCCAACGGGAAAAATCCAGTGCTTTTATCTTCCTCCTTTATCTGTTTAATACAGGTTCTTATATATCTATTTATTTGAAATACTGCCATGGACCACAGTGATCTATATCTTATATACTTTTATATATAGAATTGAACCTTCAGACAAAATATTGTAATAATAACCCCCTTTCGCCTTCAGAACTGCCTTAATTCTACATGGCATTGATTCAACAAGGTGCTGAAAGCATTCTTTAGAAATGTTGGCCCATATTGATAGGATAGCATCTTGCAGTTGATGGAGATTTGTGGGATGAAGCTCCCGTTCCACCACATCCCAAAGATGCTCTATTGGGTTGAGATCTGGTGACTGTGGCGGCCATTTTAGTACAGTCAACTCATTGACATGTTCAAGAAACGATTCGAGCTTTGTGACATGGTGCATTATCCTGCTGGAAGTAGCCATCAGAGCATGGGGACATGGTGGCCATAAAGGGATGGACATGTTCAGAAACAATGCTCAGGTAGGCCGTGGCATTTAAACGATGCCCAATTGGCACTAAGGGGCCTAAAGTGTGCCAAGAAAACATCCCCCACACCATTACACCACCACCACCAGCCTGCACAGTGAGAACAAGGCATGATGGATCCATGTTCTCGTTCTGACTCTACCATCTGAATGACTCAACAGAAATCGAGTCTTCAACTGTCCAATTTTGGTGAGCTCTTGCAAATTGTCGCCTCTTTTTCCTATTTGTAGTGTAGATGAGTGGTACCCGGTGGGGTCTTCTGCTGTTGTAGCCCATCCGCCTCAAGGTTGTGTGTGTTGTGTCTTCACAAAAGCTTTGCTGCATACCTCGGTTGTAGTGTTGTCAAAAAACTCGGTACTTCGGTACCAAGTCGGTACTAAAAAAAAAAAAAATGTTACGGTACCAGCTTTTCTAGGTACCGAATACCAGGTTAATCCAGTTCTAGACGCGCTGTCTGAAACGTGCACAGTTGCGTCCTCTTCATAACGCTGATATGGCTCTCTCTCTCTCTGAATCCACTTGTTGACACGAAAGGAGGAAAGAGCCACATATGGAAATATTTTGGATTAGGCTAATGTCACGTTGCCATAAGAGGCCGATTACATGCAAATTCGCAATTTCAAATATAGGCGCGAGGCAAGCGCGCACATAATAAAAACTCGTTGCATAGCAACGACAGACGCCGCGTGAGAGCAATCGCTTTGGAAAGAATAAGCACGCGCAAAAATATAATAAAAAAAACATGCGCGATATGTGAACGGCCTCTAAAGTGCTTTCGGGGTAGTTTTACGAGTACATGAGCACAGTAGTATCTACCCGACACCAGAGTACTGGTGTATTAGTATCGATGCATCCCTATTTATGTCATTTAATGTCAGTGCCAGTTCTAGGCGTATTCTTGCCTTTATAACTCAGCAGGTTTAAAAAGCCTTTTCAAAATTAAATATGAATGCAGTTTTAGATTAAATAAAAGTACAGTCAAATCAAATAAAACATGTTTTTTCTCCTGTATAGTTTGGTAATGCTACAATAAGATACCATTCATCAACATTAGCTACTTCACGTCAACACATTGAGTGAACAATATATTTTTACAACATTAATTAATGTTTGTAAATGTTATTTAATAGAAACACTTGATTGTTCATGTTTGTTCACTTCATTCATTGCGCATTAAATAAATGTTAACGGATTAGAACTTTACAAACAACTTTAAAAATGTGTTAGTGTATACTATTGTTTATTTTAGGTCATTTTATCTAATTTTTTTCTAAAGTGTTTATAATACAAATGTACAGTTTCCATACTTGTAACCGTGATAAACACTTAAATATATGTAAATTTAAACTAAGCTTTGGTACCGAAATTGGTACCGAGAACCGTGAATTTTTACTGGTATTGGTACAGAATACTGAAATTTTGGTACCGTGACAACACTACTCGGTTGTAATGAGTGGTTATTTCAGTCAAAGTGTCTCTTCTATCAGCTTGAATCAGTTGGCCCATTCTCCTCTGACCTCTCGCATCAACAAGGCGTTTTCGCCCACAGGACTGCCGCTCACTGGATGTTTTTCCCTTTTCACACCATTCTTTGTAAACCCTAGAAATGGTTGTGTGTGAAAATCCCAGTAACTGAGCAGATTGTGAAATACTCAGACACCAACAACCATGCCACGCTCAAAATTACGCTCTTAAATCCCCTTTGTTTCCCATTCTGACATTCAGTTTGGAGTTCAGGAGATTGTCTTGACCAGGACCACACCCCTAAATGCATCGAAGCAACTGCCGTGTGATTGGTTGATTCGATAATTGCATTAATGAGAAATTGAACAGGTGTTCCTAATAATCCTTTAGGTGTGACATAGTGAGAATATTGAAGTTAATTGTATGCATAGGCCTAAATTGTCAATAATACGATGATATTTACATGCTTCGTTTCATGATGTCAAAGCTCTGTGGTTTAAAAACACAATGCAATGCAATACAACGATTATTGACCGATGAACTAATAAACCTTCCTCAAAAGCCTGATGATCATATTTGATGCTTATCAGATTATCAATACTTTTTTTTATTTTTAGCAGAAAAATCAAGTTGCAACTAAGTTTCTTCAGTGTTCATCTTGAAATATTGAGGTTATTCCTACGTTAACGTTATAGAAATCAGTTCAGAATTTCACCATTAAAAGACACATGAACCACAAGCTGAAGGTGAACTTTTTTTTATAAAATCCCTTTTACTTGCTAAAAACATATCAGTCAGAAGACAGAAGGCGTGTAGTAGTTTGTGTACAACAGTTGATCATTTCCATGCCTTTGAAATGTGTGTATTAAATATGACACAGCTTTATAGGGAAGCTTGTAGCTTGACGAACAACACCGCTGAGCAGAAAGTGTTCGTGTGAAGACGTGTTAAAGCGTCTGTGTGAGCGCCGACCGCTGTTAACATTAGTAACCTGTCAGGAAAATCAAAGCTCTCAGTCAAAACATCGTAAGGAGACTGATTTCCTTTTTTCTGCGCTGTGGAAAAATCCCAGTGGCCTCTGTAGTCCTCCGAGCGGCTCCTACAACAACACAAAGTCTGTTCATTAGTAATGATCAAGCGTGTCTGTAATCATCCGTGAGATGTGATCGTTGTTTTCCTGGCCTATTTAAAGTGCAGGGCGGCCCGTTTTCCCTGATCGGCCCATCCGAGGCGCGCTTGGGAAGAGAAGAGCATTCGGTTTGAACATACGTGAAGGCCGCAGGGGTTTAATGTGCGCTTTTGTTTGCATTGATGTTTGCAGGGTAACCAGGAGGCCAGCAATCCGGCGGACATGGCCCAGACGTACACCCCTCAGTACGGGCATCCCCCGCAGAACGAGTTCAGCGCCACACACACTCTTCCCACGCAAGACTACGCGGGACAGAACCGCGTCCCGGATCACGGCTTGACGCTCTACACGGCGGCACAGACTCACAGCGATCTGGCCAACGCTGACAGCAACACGCCAGCCATCAGCAGCGGGAACAACACAGCACCGGTGCGTCAAACACACACACACACACACGTGCTCTCTGTGGAAGCTTGTTGAGAGGAAAAGGCCAGACAAGAAGACATTTAAGACTTTTTCTCTCAATTCTGAGAATAAAAATTAGTCCGAATTTCAAGAAATAAACGTAGAATAGCAAGACAATGCAAACAAGTTTTGACAATTCTGAGTTTGTATCTCAAAATAAACTGAGAGAATTGTGAGATGTGAACTCATTTAAAGATGCGAGATGTAAACTCAAAATTCTAAGAAAACAAGAAAGAATTGCAAGATGTAGTGTCAGAATTATGAAAAAAAGACAAAAATTGCAAGATATAAATTCAGAATTGTAAAAAAGACAGAATTGAGGGACCTAAATTCAGAATTCTGAAAAAGACAAAATCGCAAGATGTAAACTCGGAATTCTAAAAAAAAGATAGAATTGCAAGATGTAAACTCAGAATTCTAAAAAAGACAGAATTGTAAGACCTAAATTAAGAATTCTAAAAAAAGACAGAATTGCATGACGTAAACTCAGAATTTAAAAAAGACAGAATTGCAAGATTTAAACTCAGAATTCTAAAAAAGACAGAATTGCAAGATTTAAACTCGTAATTCTAAAAAAGACAGAATTGCAAGATTTAAACTCATAATTCTTAAAAAAAGACAGAATTGCAAGATTTAAACCCAGAATTCTAAAAAAGACAGAATTGCAAGATTTAAACTCAGAATTCTAAAAAATACAGAATTGCAAGATTTAAACTCATAATTCTTAAAAAAGACAGAATTGCAAGATTTAAACCTAGAATTCTTAAAAAGACAGAATTGCAAGATTTAAACTCATAATTCTTAAAAAGACAGAATTGCAAGATTTAAACTCATAATTCTTAAAAAAAGACAGAATTGCAAGATTTAAACCTAGAATTCTTAAAAAGACAGAATTGCAAGATTTAAACTCATAATTCTTAAAAAAAGACAGAATTGCAAGATTTAAACTCAGAATTCTAAAAAATACAGAATTGCAAGATTTAAACTCATAATTCTTAAAAAAAGACAGAATTGCAAGATTTAAACTCATAATTCTTAAAAAAGACAGAATTGCAAGATTTAAACTCATAATTCTTAAAAAAAGACAGAATTGCAAGATTTAAACTCATAATTCTTAAAAAAAGACAGAATTGCAAGATTTAAACCTAGAATTCTTAAAAAGACAGAATTGCAAGATTTAAACTCATAATTCTTAAAAAAAGACAGAATTGCAAGATTTAAACTCATAATTCTTAAAAAAAGACAGAATTGCAAGATTTAAACTCAGAATTCTAAAAAATACAGAATTGCAAGATTTAAACTCATAATTCTTAAAAAAAGACAGAATTGCAAGATTTAAACCTAGAATTCTTAAAAAGACAGAATTGCAAGATTTAAACTCATAATTCTTAAAAAAAGACAGAATTGCAAGATTTAAACTCATAATTCTTAAAAAAAGACAGAATTGCAAGATTTAAACTCAGAATTCTAAAAAATACAGAATTGCAAGATTTAAACTCATAATTCTTAAAAAAAGACAGAATTGCAAGATTTAAACCTAGAATTCTTTAAAAAAAAAGACAGAATTGCAAGATTTAAACTCATAATTCTTAAAAAAAGACAGAATTGCAAGATTTAAACTCAGAATTCTAAAAAAGACAGAATTGCAAGACATAAATTCAGAATTCTAAGAAGTTGTCCTTATAAGAAAATTCTGACTTTTTTCCGCAATTCTGAGAGAAAAAAAAGACAGCATTTTGATATATAAGCTCAGAATTGTGAGATAAACTCACAATTGCCATTTTTTTCCTATTGTGTAGATATAAACTCTGTATATATATAAAAAGAATTGCAAGATGTAAACGTACTACACTGTAAAAGAAAAGATTCAAAGTTGTAAATAAAACATATTGGAGTATGTTTTACCCAAAAAAAAAAAAAAATACTATTTCAGTCTTTCTAATTGAAAATATGACGAGTGAAAAAAAATCATATTAAATCATACACCGGTTCTGTTCAGTGTACGCATAATATAAATTACTTCAACAAGAGTTGAGCTACTATTTTTTTTTTTTTACGCTAGTCCTTCTGAAATAAAAAGTAAAAAAAAAATCCCTCTATTTTTCTCTGCTGTCCTGCCATTAAACGTGTTTGCATTTCAGAGATTGCTGCACTGCTAATGCTTTGCTCTTGAATTATACATGGCTTGTGTTGCTTCTCATTTGTAAGTCGCTTTGTATATATATAAATCTGCTTCCTTTAATGTGAATTAACAGTAGTTGTGTTTTCAAACAAGTCGCTTTTCTGTTTATTTAATGACTTACCGAATTAAATTACTATAGTAACTGCACGTGTTTCCCCCCCCCAAAAAAATCTTACTTTCCTCAAACTTTTGAACAGGAGGTACAGTATCAAGATGAATCTATGGTGAAAAAATGGTAAAACAAAATTGTCTCTATACGACAGGAGGATGCAACCAAAGAAAAGTCGTTCTGCAGGTGTAGAAAGCGATTATATTTTAATGAAGGAAATGCAAATACTTCCAACAAAACACAAGAGGCCTATGAGAGTCAGTAAGTAAAATACACAAAGAGAAAAGCCTCATATTGAGGGATTATGGTGTTCATCTAAAGGCAGCGGACTGTTTTTCCCTTTCGCATTGATGAATCGTTCAATCAACAAGACCGGGAACGTGCATGAAGACTATACAATTAGATTTTATTGCCAGCAACTATCAGCAGATCTCATTGAGTTCACGTCTCTTGACTTCATTAGATGAACTTGTGTGGACGAGGTTCGCCTCTCGTAATATAAGCCGTGGAGGAGCCTGTGCAGTGTGAGACGCCGTGTTTCGGGAGTACATGCTCCTCTGTCCAAAATAATGAGCAGTGAGAGACCGCTTGACACCGCTGTAATGATGTGTCACACACTGTGCTGTTATAATGACATAATCACTGTCATGTTTGGCCCTATCTCTCGCTCGCGGACAGAGTGACAGCAAATAAGAGCCGTGTCGGTTTGCATCATTCAGTCGGGACATTAATTGATGCTACTGTGTCTAAATACGACACTTTATGCAGTGCATTGGGTCCTTATGCTGTTCTGGTGTTGTGTTGATGGCATTTGCAAGTGTGTTCTCTTGACGATGATGCGGGTTTGGTAGTTTAGTGGTTTCTTCTTCCTCTTCTCCTCCTGGCCTGTTTTCTTTATGTCTTCAGAGGAGTGTGAACATGGTGTAGCATGAATAATTTAGCGTAGCAGAAAGGTGGACACGCTCGCTAGTTAATCTCGCTCTCTTATGGTCTCTCTCGGAGGCTCACGGCCCCGTCCTTAAATTATAAATTATACGTGCGCTTCATTGGGCATAATGATAACCAATTCTGTAGATTAAAGGAATGAATGAATTGTATATTTGTTTATGTTTTGTGTTTGTTATAAAAAATAATGTATTAAAATCTTTAAAACTTTTTGCTATTTTAATTCAGTTTTACATTTACTGAGCTTTATGCTTACAACAAGAAAAATAAATCAATAGAAAGAATGAATTAATTAACGAGCGAACAAACAAATGAACGAACGAACGAATGAAAGAAAGGATGAAGGGAAGAGAAAGTAAAAACGAAGGAATGAAAGGAAGAGGATGAGAAGGATTGAACAAAAGAAAAAGAGAAAGGACAAAGGAACGAAATTAAAAACAAACGACTCGCAAAGAACAAACGAAGCACCCAAAAATGAAAAAAGAAAGAACAAAAGAAAGGACAAATGAACAAACGTTAGAAAAAGAAAAGGACAAATGAACGAAAATAACGAATAAATAATGAACAAAGGAACGAAAAAAATTTACGAAAGAAAGAGTGAGTGAGTGGGAGTGTGTGTGTGTGCCGACCACGATTTTCTGTACAGAGGTAAAGGGAAGGAGGCCTTCACAGGGGAGGGACTAGTGACACTTCAGGAATGCGATGTCGTCATGTACAGGCGCAGGTCCTTCATCAGATCTGGATACAGCCTGGATCCGGCGGACTGCGGTAAACCTCGGGATAAACAGAGAGACTAATATTAGCGTAGACGTCATCCATTTTATGATGTAACCAGTACATCAGGATTTATGGGAAGTGTTCCCGGTTCCGGCTGATTTAATCGATGCAGCCTAAATTGAATTTAGGAAGTCTATAGTGTGTTGTGTGTATGCTAGGCCAAAGAGATGTGTTTTTAGTCTAGATTTGAACTGACAGAGTGTGTCTGCTTCCCGGACAATGTTAGGAAGATTGTTCCAGAGTTTTGGTGCTAAATAGGAAAAGGATCTCCCGCCTGCAGTTGATTTCGATATTCTAGGTATTATCAACTGGCCGAAATTTCGAGCTCGCAATAGACGTGAAGGACTATAATGCGTTAAGAGCTCGCTCAAGTACTGCGGAGCTAAACCATTCAGTGCTTTATAAGTAATCAGCAATATTTTAAAATTTATACGATGTTTAATAGGCAGCCAATGCAGGGTTGACAGAACCGGGCTAACATGGTCATACTTCCTGGTTCTGGTAAGAAGCTGAAGTTTGTTTATTAAGCGTGCAGGGCAACCACCCATAATAACATTACAATAATCTAGTCTTGATGTCATGAACTAATTGATACACATTTGTCAATGAGAGCATATGACGTATTTTAGATTTTTTTAAGATGCGGTTACTGAAAAATCGAAATGAGGTTTTACATATACTAGACACGTGACTTTCCTAACCGACGACGACAAAGACTTAATAGAGCAGCCATCAAGTGTTAGAGAGTATTCTTAGGGTATTACGTGTTGAAGTTTTTTGTCCAATAATTAGAATCTCAGTTTGTTTGTTTTTTTTGTTTTTTTTTAGAATTTATTTGTAGGAAATTACTGGTCATCCAATTGTTCATCAGCTATGCATTCCGTTAATTTTGTGAATTGGTAAGTTTAGTCAGGGCGTGAAAAAATATAGAAATATATATCATAAAGATTA